AAAAGATCAATACTGTGGTGGACAAAACCATACAATTTTATGAACGGGCATACCCTTTCAAACTCCAGAACCCACAGTGGTCATCACCACAGATACTTCCCTCATGGGCTGCAGAGCACACATGAGACCTTACAACCCAGGGTCTATGGACCCTGGCAGAGAGGATGCTACACATCAATGTCCTCGAGCTCAGGGCCATCTGGCTTGCATGCCAGCATTTTGTATCCTACATCACTGCAACACACGTCAGAATATGTACCGACAACACAGTCTTTGTTTTTTGTAACAGACAAGGCAGGATACGATCCCATGCCCTATGCAAGGATGCCATAGCACTAACTATGGAACTGGTGCCTCACTCATGGCATCTCGGTGAGTGAATGCCATCTTCCTGGCGCCCTAAACACCACAGAGGACGCCCTAAGCAAAGCCTCACCTCACCTCAAGATCATGAATGGTAGATCAACCATTTAGTTCTGACAGATATTTGCACAGTGGGAATACCCTCTTCTAGACCTATTCGCTACCAGAACAAACAACAAATGCCCACTTTATTGCTCCATGGTGGGCATGGGAAAGCACTCACTCGGAGACGCCCTTATCCTCAAGTAGAATGACCACCTACTCCATGCATTCCCTCCCTTTCCCCTCTCAACAGAGTATTCATCAAAATACAGAAGGACAAAATGAGGGTTATCCTAACAGCACCTTGCTGACCCCGGCAGCCATGGTTTCCCCTCCTGCGCAGAATGACCCTATATTGCCCGATCATACCCCCATGCAACCCGAGCATACTGTTCTAACAAGGAACCACAGCTTCTCACCCTCACAATTTCTCCTTCTTCACCTCAAAGTGTGGTACCTTGATGGTTCATGGACATAGAATTACAGTGTTCAAAGCAGGTATGTGAGGTGCTCCTCCACACAGGGCCCTGCAATGGGGAAGGCATACACTAAGAAATGGTCTTGTTTTGTACATTGGGCTGCTTTCCGTAACATATCATTGGATGATGCCCCTCTTGCCTACAATCCTTGATTACTTACTGCATGTTAAGCACTCCCACCTTTCCATGAGCTCAATTAGAGTACATCTCGCAGCAATAACAACATTCCATATGACCGTTGATGACACCACGGTCTTCGCACATCCCTCAAGAACTGGGGCAGATAACCAACTCCTTATCCAAAATCTCTGAGGGAAAGTGAACATTATGACAAGGAGGTGCCAGTGGAGAAGCCTAATGATATTCTTTTTATCAGTGATCCAGGTCAGAGTCTGGTGTGGTTTTCCAGTTATATGGTCTTTCAAAAGAAGTCCCAACCCACCAAGAGGGGCAACAATTACAGTGTTCTTAATTTATAGATCCCTAAGTGTTGTATAAAGGTGGCTATGTACCATTATCTCCATTTTTTTTTAAACAAAGGCACAGAAAGCTGAAATTACTTGCTGTGTGGTGCTGAACTTGTCAGTGCACTTTTCTGTATGTCAGTCACTCCATCTGTAAAAGAGGGATAATGGTACATCTGTGTAATTAGTTTATTATCTTTGATTGTGCTGCTCTAGACTCAGTCTTTGCCTGTCAGTGCCTGTAGAGATGGTTCCAGAAGATGCTTGTACTTGGAAATATAAGGGTCAGAAAATAGTTTCTCACCAGGGATCCTTGAATAATTGATTTTTTTACTGAAATGGTGAAGAGATAATTTTCACAAACTATAACTATTGACTAGACTCAATAGCACTAAACTGTTTCCATAGTGCTAATATAGTTCCTAAGCTTTTGTTTGCTTGAATTGCAACCAGAGGGCAATTCAAATTATAGTAAGCAAGGTTTAATTATTCAGATTGATCTTATTCTAGGACACTAGGGTTAACGCTATGCCTCTTGCAAAAAATGCTTTGGGATTTTGTAAGGACAACTGATAAGGCATACATTTTACATTATTTTCAAAGATGACAGGGATTCCAGTAACACCTTATCACTATACTCGATCATTGGTTTGGTATTGCTTCAGAAAAATTGCCTTCTAGCGAATCAAGTACCATATCCTGCAACATCTAGGTTTCCTCTGAGATTTCTGTCCAGTTGTGAATTTGATAAAAGTTGGTTTTGCTTATACATTCTTATATCTCATTTGGATTTTGATTAACACTATTTTTCCTGTTAACTAATTCAATAATGTTTTTGTTCTTGAGACAAGGTGGGTGAAGAAATATCTTTTTTTGGACAAAATTCTGTTAGTGAGAGACAAGCTTTTGAGCCATTCAGAGCACTCATACTGGTATGAGGGGAAAAAACCCTCCCAGCTAGATCCCTACCTGGATACAAATATGCATCTGCATCCATATTTGCAAAAATGAACTATAGATATCTGCCTCTATATCCGCTCGTGCCCACGGATATAAAGTGGATATCCCCAAATTTGCAGGGTTCCAGATATAAAATTTGTATCTGCATTCGCATCCTCTAAAATGAGCCGTGGATATTCCACATCAACATCTGTGGATGCAGATACCCATGGATATAAGGTGGATATCCGTGGATTTACAGGGCTCTACTCCCAGCATCACAGCAAATTGAAGTGGGACACATTGTCATAAGTAGGTAGCATGTGGTGGAATCATCCATTCAAAGTAGAATGGCCTATTAATACCTCTGCAGTCATAGGACAGAAAGAGGGGATTGGTTAGTTACAGATTGTTGCGATAAGCCATAAATCCATTGTTTATGTTCAGTCCATGATTTTTAGGGTCTAGCAGACTAATGAATTTAAGCCCCTACACTTGTCTTGTGAAAGTGTTTTCAGGATTCCTTCGAGGATGGGGTCTGATAAGTATTCCAAAATAACATAGTCCACGTCTACACTACAAACTGTTATTTCATCATAATGTCAAAATAATGTCGACTGGAGGACCTCGTACTCCAACTACTGTAACCCTCATTTTACAAGGAGTAAGTGAAGTTGGAGGAAAAGTGCTCTTCCTCGGACTTCCTGTTGTGTAGACCGCACCAAAAGCCAAAATAAGCTATTTCAACTTAAGCTATGCAATTGACATAGCTCAAGTTGCATAGCTTATTTAGGTTGATAATGATAATAGTGATTGTAAATAAGTATTAAAACATGTAAATATGTATCCAGGGCTGCGTTAGAGAGGCACAGGGCTTGGGCCATGCTCTTCATCTGCTCCACTCTCCCCTTTTTCCCTTCACCAGAGCAGTGCAGCCAAAGAGATTATGGGGCTTGACTCAGCAACAGCAAACAGTTGCCCTCCACCCCCTCATCACCGTGTGGGCAATGGGAACTATCTGGCAGCCAGATCAGCTCTGCTGTGCTGCCCTTCCAGCCCAGGGCATGAACACATGAGAAGCCCAGTGCATTGGGCCAGGAGAGGCCAGCAAGGTGGGGCAGATTGAGGAGTGGAGCAGGCTTCCAGGCGGCTCTGGCTCCTACCTCCTGAGTAGTGAGTATGAGGGGGAGGCAACCCCTGCTGTCACACTGTGCCAATCCCATAATCTCCTGGTTCCCTCCTATCCATAGGACGGTTGGGGTGCCTGATGGGGACCCCCCAAAAGAGCAGCACCTGTGGAAGCTGCCCCAGTTTGACCTATGGGTGAGACAGCTCTGTATAATATTTTAAGTCTGTGCCTCCACATCGGAAACCAGGTTTACTCATATTTGTAAAATATGTATTTGAAGACTGTCATATTTTTCAGAGTTCACAGTTGCATACTTCATACTATATACTTGAAATGGAGGAATTAATAAGGTCACCATAAGATTTTCTCTTTAATGTCTTGTCTTCGAGCAAAATGAAGAATTTAATGGAACATTCTTGTAGCGTGTTAGTGGTTTTTATATTGAAATGCATCCTGATTAATGGATAAAATAGGTTAATTAAGGTAGGGAAATTCTCTTTGTCAGTTGTTTGGTCATGGGCTTTTCTGAGTGTTTCCCTTATTCTTCTATCACTTCTATTCCTTAGGCTACTCCATTTGCTGTAGCATAAGTTCCTCTTAGCGATTTTCTTGTTCCCCAACTTTCCACTTAGGTTCTTCTCATACTTTGGGGCAATAACCAAGTTTCACCCTTTCTTCTATCTTATGCTAGTCCTTTGATGGGGCCTGAAAGTCTCACTGGTATTTCACATGTGCCCTGTTGCTCCTACTTATGATTGTTGCCATTTCTGCATGTGCTTCACCTGCTAAGACTTCCCCCCCACCCTCCTTGTTGTACCTCCCTCAGGGGCCAACGTGCCCCATTTGTGCTGTCACGTCGCTGTCTAAAGCTGTCAGTCTAGTTTGCATAAATTCCACCTGTAAATTAGTCGCATCTGTTCTGAGTCATATATTTTTCTGTGTCTGTGCAGTTTTAAGTAATCTTTGCTACATATCCTGAGTTCAGTCCCTACATTCCACACCCCCTTTCAGAGCATCACTCTGCTTTTACTACTTGTCTGGGTGCCATCCTAACAATCTGACTCTCTCCCCCACTGCATCAATGCCTCCTATTTGTATTCTATAATTCCTCACAAAATGTTGGTCTAGGTTGGTTATCTTTTCTTTTAAAGGTATTCAGTTGTTAATCATACAACTATTGTAAATTTAAATACGTAGGAGAATTTCTGCCTGTCGGAATATGAAAATAGTCAAGTTAAAGAGAAAATAGGTTGCACCCAAAAATGTGATTTACCAGGACTATGATGCCAGGGCTGAAAAATTGCTGTGAAGATGCTCATGCCCACTCTGTAGCCCCTAAGCTTTAGGATCCTGAAAGGGGGGGAGGGTCCGGCATCCCAATCTCTAGCCTAAACATGAATGTCTGCGCAGCAATGTTTTAGCTTCACAGTCTGCCTACCAGCCCCAGTCAGCTGACCTGGGCCAATGATGCCCATGTGGTTCTACTCTTTGTAGACCTCTTTAGAGTGAAAGATGTGAGGCTGATTTTGTTGGATTGCCATTAATAATGGCTATTTAATCATTGTATTTCTTTACATATTGTAGGTGTGTCGACTACAAGACCTAGTAAGAAAAAGTGAAAAGGGCCTTGGTACTGCAGAAGGACACATCTCCAATCTTCAGGAAGCCCAGGAAATACTCCAAAAAGAACTAGAGTTAACCAGAGCAAGGCTGAGAGAGACCACGGATTCATTATATAATGTTGAGGTAACCACATAACGGGAAAGTAAATGATTTAAAACACAATTACAGTGATATCTGATGGTTTTTAAAATGTCAAGGCCTGGTTTCCTGGATATATTAAACATGTAGCTTCATATAGGTCTATTAAAAATGTTTATTTCCTTTTTTCATTTCAAGTCTTAAGGCCTATAAATTAGATGTGAATATTTTAAGAGCTTATTTGTATTGTTAACTCTGAGTGTTGCTACAAACACATCTTTCTGTCTGAAATTGAAACAACAGAAAAAAAGATTCCCCATGGAGTAAGAGTTGAAAAAAACCCCCACAAAAAGCCCACCCCCTAAACCAACTGTGTTTCAGTTGAGGTGAGGGGATCATGCTGGGCCTCCAGAACTCAATCATCTGCACTCCCATCTCCTCAGAGCCTATCTGCAGGGAACCCACCTCAGAGACCTGCCCACCTCCCCTCCCAGAGGCCAGTCAACAGGACAGTCCCCAGCCCAAACATTTTCCTAACACAGCCTAGCTGCAGGGCACACACCCCACCCAGATATCTGCTTCTCCCACCACAACTCCAGATGTGGAGTACCCTCCTGGACCAGACTAGGGATATAAATTCCCATTTAACTGGCTCACTGGTTAAACACTGTTTTACCATTTAACCAATTCAAGGAGGTCAAAGTAAGGGGAAGGACTGCTTGGGCTAGCATGGGGAGTGTCAGGATTTGCTGTGCAGCCTGGAAGGCGCTTGTGTAGATGGCATCTGAAAGCCTCACAGAGGCTTTCTTTTGTGTTTGAGAAACTTGGAAATGGCAGAGGTGCTAAATGACTTCTTTATTGTACACTGCTGACTCATATTCAGCTTATGTTCCACTAAAACCCCTAGAACCCTTTCTGCCGTACTCCTTCCTAGACAGACGCTTCCCATTCTGTATGTGTGAAACTGATTGTTCCTTCCTAAGTGGAGCACTTTGCATTTGTCTTTATTAAACTTCATCCTGTTTACCTCAGACCATTTCTCCAATTTGTCCAGATCATTTTGAATTATGACCCTATCCTCCAGCTTAGTTGCAACCCCTCCTAGCTTGGTATCATCTGCAAACTTAATAAGCGTACTTTCTATACCAATATCTAAATTGTTGATGAAGATATTGAACAGAGCCGGTCCCAAAACAGACCCCTGCAGAACCCCACTTGTTATACCTTTCCAGCAGGATTGTGAACCATTAATAACTAATCTCTTAGTCCAGTTACCCAGCCAGTTACGCACCCACCTTATAGTAGCCCCACCTGAGTTGTATTTGCCTAGTTTATTGATAAGAATATCATGTGAGACCATATCAAACGCCTTACTAATGTCCAAGTATACCACATCCATCACTTCTCCCTTATCCACAAGACTCGTTATCCCATCAAAGAAAGCTATCAGATTGGTTTGACATGATTTGTTCTTTATGAATCCATGCTGGCTGTTCCCTATCACCTTGCCACCTTCCAAGTGTTTACAGATGATTTCCTTAATTACTTGCTCCATTATCTTCTCTGGCACAAAAGTTAAACTAACTGGTCTGTAGTTTCCTGGGTTGTTATTGTTTCCCTTTTTATAAATGGGCACTTTATTTGCCCTTTTCCAGTCTTTTAGAATCTCTCCTGTCTCCCTTGATTTTCCAAAGATGATAGCTAGAGGCTCAGATGCCTCCTCTGTCAGCTCCTTGAGTATTCTAGGATGCATTTCATCAGGCCCTGGTGACTTGTAGGCATCTAACTTTTCTAGGTGATTTTTGACTTGTTCTTTTTTTATTTTATCTTCTAAACCTCCCACCTTCCCACTAGCATTCACTATGTTAGGCATTCCCTCAGACTTCTCGGTGAAGACCAGAACAAAGAAGTCATTAAGCATCTCTGCCGTTTCCAAGTTTCCTGTTACTGTTTCTCCCGCCTCACTGACCAGTGGGCCTACCCTGTCCTTGGTCTTCCTCATGCTTCTAATGTATTTATAAAAAGTCTTCTTGTTTCCCTTTATTCCCGTAGCTAGTTTGAGCTCATTTTGTGCCTTTGCCTTTCTAATCTTGCCCCTGCATTCCTGTTTTGTTTGCCTATATTCATCCTTTGTAATTTGTCCTACTTTCCATTTTTTATATGACTCCTTTTTTTATTTTTAGATCATGCAAGATCTCGTGGTTAAGCCAAGGCAGTGTTTTGCTATATTTTCTATCTTTCCGGTGCAGCGGAATAGCTTCCTTTTGGGCCCTTAATAATGTCCCTTTGAAAAACTGCCAACTCTCCTCAGTTGTTTTTCCCCTCAGTCTTGATTCCCATGTGACCTTACCTATCAGCTCTCTGAGCTTACCAAAATCCGCCTTTCCGAAATCCATTGTCTCTATTTTGCTGTTCTCCCTTCTATCCTTCCTTAGAATTGTGAACTCTGATTTCATGATCGCTTTCACCCAAGCTGCCTTCCACTTTCAAATTCTCAACCAGTTCCTCCCTAGTTGTTAGGCTCAAATCTAGAACAGCTTCCCCCCTGGTAGCCTTTTCAACCTTCTGAAATAAAAAGTTGTGTCCAATGCAGTCCAAGAACTCATTGGATACTCTGTGCCCCTCTGTGTTATTGTCCCAACATATATCTGAATAGTTGAAGTCCCCCTTCACCACCAAATCCTTTGGATGATATTGTGAGTTGTTTAAAAAAAGCCTCATCCACTTCTTCCACCTGGGTAGGTGGCCTGTAATAGACTCCTAGCATAACATCACCCTTGTTTTTAATCCTTTTTAGCCTAACGCAGAGACTCTCAACACTTCCATCTCCTATGTCCATTTCCACCTCACTCCAAGTGTGTTCATTTTTAATATATAAGGCAACACCTCCTCCCTTTTTTCCCTGTCTATCCTTCCTGAGTAAGCTGTACCCTTCTATACTAACATTCCAATCGTGTATTATCCCACCAAGTTTCTGTGATGCCAACAAAGTCATAATCGACTGAGTAGCTTTATTAGAGCTATAATTTTGTGTTTCTCATGTTGATTTTCACTTCATGTGCACTCAGACCATGAAATAATTAACTTTCTCCTTCGAGTGGTCCCCATGGGTGCTCCACTCTGGTTGCTGGTGCGTCCTCGCGCCGGCGACCAGAGATCTTTCTAGCTGTTTCCACCATGCTGCGCACACGTGTTGTTGAAATCTCTTAGGCATGCACGCGGCGTGGCTCCTCATTTCCTTCTCGACCGTCCTCGGCAGCAGACTGAGCTTCTTTCTCTCTTCAACTTTGGTCAGAAATAGATTGAAACCTTGGTTAATTCCTACAGTTACCTTAGAGTCCAAGTTATTTCATCCTGCTACCCACCCCCAGTCTATAGTTAAAACAAAACAAAACAAAAAATGTTCTCTTGTTGCGGCTTGCTGCTTGTTCCCACACCTCATGCTGGGATCCCCCGGCTTTAAAAGGTGTCAGACATGCCGGGAGGCTATGCCCGTGTCTGATGGGCATTCCTATTGTATTAAGTGTCTCGGCGAATCCCACCGGACTCAGAAGTGCCAGCACTGCTCGAAATTGACCTCCAGAGCATGTCGGGATCGAGCTAACAGGCTAAAAATGATCCTTTATGAAAAGTCTCTCCTACCTCCATCAGACAATCCACCAGTAGCTCCAGAAATGGCCTGCCTCACCAAGGGTACAGATAAATCATGTCCCTCTGCCCTTTCATGTCCCTCTGCCCTTTCTAGCCTGATGGCATCAAGAACGGCCAATTCCCCAATTTCCCTACCCTCGGCGCCCTCAGCCTCATGGGTCAGCACCACGGATAAGCCAGGCACGTCTGGTACGGCTCCAGCCAAGACACGGGCACCACAGAAATGAGTGCATTCGGAACTGAGACAAAGATCATCGGCACCGCCCGCGCCAACGGCACCGACCTCCCATAAGGAGCATATGGCGTCAAAACAGCCATGGCACTACTCCGCGGCACTGACATCAGCTGCGAAAAAGTCCCGCACCGACATGTTGACCCTGGACAACTCGGCACCGGTATCGGCACTGAGCAAATCCCCTACCTCAGCACCGAGCCAGCTACTGCTCCCTGGAACAGAGCCACTCACCACTGGCACCAACCTCTTCAGTCCAACCAGTACTCTCCCACAGATCGTCTCACGTTTCATGGACTCCAAGTGAGGCAGTCATGGAACCCAGGAGCAGATTCTCCTCCCAGCACTTTATTCCTGTGCACAGACCTCCTTCTTGTCAGCCTTCCGTCACACAATACACATACTCACCTCCGCCACCACTATGGTATGCACGACAATACAGTTACCCACCAATGCCATACGCTACTCAATGGCAACCATGTGAGCCACTCCCCAAGCAAAGTCATCATCGTCCTCCTTCAACAACTTCCAGACCACCAGCTTTGCCGCCTCTTACTGCTTCCATTACAGAGCCAAATTCCCCACGTCACTCTGAGATACAAGATTCTTTCTCAGGTGGTGAGGATAGGTCCCCTCTACATAATTCCTCAACCTCACCTGGTGAGGCAGTAACACCTGAAGCTCCACCATATGGTGATGACTCTAGAACATTTCAAGATCTCTTCAAGCGGGTGGCATTAGCACAGGAACGGGACTTACAGGAGGTACAAGTTAAACAGTACAAGCACTTATGTACACTAGAACCATCCACTACCTCTTGTCTGGCAATCGCTATGGATGAGGCCATTATGGACCCAGCTGATAACATCTGGCAGACTCCCGCGTCTATTCCCCCTACCAACAAGAAGGCGAACGGCAAGTACTTTATCGCGCCAAAAGAAGTGGATTTTCTTTTCACCCATCCACCACCAAATTCCCTAGTGGTGGATTCTGTTCATCACAAAGGAAGACAACCAATCTTAGGATGACACCACAGGATAGAGGCCATAAGAAAATAGACGTTATGGGCCATAAGGTTTATTTGTCTTCCACCCTGCTCTTTCGAGCAGCAAACTACACAGCAATGCTTATGGATTATGATCATGCAAATTATTCCAAACTA